TTATTATTTATATATTATTTTTTATTTAATTATATTATGAATTGATATTTTTTAATTTAATTTTTTTATTAATTATTTCGATTTTATTAAATTTAAATTAAATAATAATATTATTTTATTTTTAATTATATATTTATATTATTGTTATATTTAATTATATAATAATTTATATATTATGTATTTCGATTTTATTAATCTAAATTTCTATGATGAAATTATAATATATATAATTTTATATTATTTATTATTATATTTTAATGTTATATTTCATAATATTTCTTTCGATGTATATTTATTTCATTATAATATTAATATTATTTCATTGTATATTAATTTAATTTTTCTAATTCTTATATTTATATATTTATAAATTAATTGGGATCCGTATATCCGGGTATCCCTGGATTGCCCGTATATCCATATTTCCATATATCCGTATCCTATGAATATATATTTTAAAAAAAAAAAAAATATATTATTTCTATTTTTTAATAGATATTATTTATTCTGGGATATAGATTAGTATGGGAATACAGAATTGTGTCCACAGATTCCAAAATAATTGTATATCTTTGGAAATAATCGAGGATATAATTTTATATCCGCAGGATTTTGGTGTAAATAATATTTATGTTTTTTTAGTTTTTAAATTTTATTTGATTTTTAATTATATCTTATTTATTTATTTAATTATTTTAAAATAATAATTGAATATTATTAAAAAAATGTATAATTTAATTATTATTTAAATTTTAATTTATCAAATTTAAATATTATTTTTTAAATTATAAATAATAAATAAAATAAATATATATATATATAATTATTATTATTTATTTTTTTTGATAATTTTAAATATTATATTTATTTGTGTCAGGATATATTATTGTGTTTTGGTCTTGTATCTGGGGTATATTATTGTGTTTTGATTTTGTTTTTGTTCAAATATTTTTATTTTATTTTTTTATTTTTGTTTTTTATTTTTGATTTTTTATCATTGAAATTTTCCAGATATTTTTCATAAAAAATTATATCCAGGTATATAATAATATGGTTTGATTGGGGGATATATTATTATATCCAGGTTTTTCCTGATATTATGATTTTTGTTTTTTTTAAAATATCTTTTACCTTTTCTTTTGCTAAAATAATTATTTTTTTAAAATTATTTAATTATTTTCTTATTTTTTTTTATTTAAAATTCTCAGACATACCTAATTTTCCAAAATATATGATATCTTATTAAAATCCAATTAAAAAATATTATTCAAATAATTTTTCAAGGGGTAGTCCATGAGCAACCCTGATATACAATAATATGCTTTGGGGGGTACATTATTGTATCCTATTGTTTCCTGAAATTATTTTTTTTTTTTATTTTTTCTTTTAATATTTGTTTTCTTTTTAATTAATTAATTATTTTCTTATTTTATTTCTATTTGAAATTTTCAGAAATATCCAATATCCCAAAATATATGATATTTTTTTAAAATCCAATTAAACAATATTATTTAAATATTTTTTCAAGGTAATCCATAAATAATCCTGATATATAATAATATGATTTATTTGGGGGGTATATTATTGTATCCTGTTATTTCCTGAAATAATGTTGTTTTTTTTGCAATTATTTTCTTTACCTTTTCCTTTGTTGTATTTATTTCCTTTTAATTAATTAATTATTCCCCACCTGCCAGGTGAGGGTTATTAGATTTTA